ACATTCCCCTTGAATAGGCTGCAGAGAAGATTAGATCTTAGCTGGAGCATAACATACTCRGTATAGTTCCAAACTGCTTCAAAGGGTTTTGCTACCTAGTGAAAATTAATGTCAGCTTTCTTGTGTGCTCCTTCAGGAAAGGTTTTTGGACTTGGTTCTGGTCCCAGTTCTGCCTGTCAGTCTGCCTGTCTGCCAAACAGCTCGTCACCCACTACCACAGTTGAAAATAAACACTAATCCTGAAGAAACTCACACGTAAAGACTTGTCCTGGACATCTTCATCCGCTTTGGATCCTTGCTGCCCCTCTCCATGGTCTTGGACCTCTGCGGAAACTGTAAAAGAAAGAAACATTTCTCAATCCATTCCTTCCACCTACAGGACAAACATTAACCACTCGCCTCTTTCCATTTTCAGGTTCCTCTCAGATCCCTGTTTCCTCACTGTAAATTAACATCACTTACCTTTTTTACCATTGAGTCCAGTGTCTGCTGCTTTCCAGCTGCTCAAACACTTTGACATACTGTATTTGCTATGATAACATCGTGGACAGGTTTAAGTATTTTGGTCCGTGGGAGGAAACTGGAGTAAACCCATGCATGCACAGATGAAACATACAAACAAGTCCCTGCACTGGATTTGATCTGGGAACGTTCTCACTGAGAGGCAACAGTTCTTCTCACTGTGCCGCCGTTCCATTGCAGGCTAGACCATGACCTCTGGGGCTAATTATTTTTTATGTCAAAGATAACTTCTAATGACACTGGCTTTATGTTTGGGCTTGTTGTCCTGCTGCAGAATACATTTGGGCATGATCAATCACCTCAGTGATTACAGTAAATGACATGATGGCTGCTGTATTTCTCAACACTGTGGACCCCATATAGATAGATAGATAGATAGATAGATAGATAGATAGATAGATAGATAGATAGATAGATAGATAGATAGATAGATAGATAGATAGATAGATAGATNTAATAGTTGAGACTTAGTCCAAAATAATACTTTTAGCACAAATTGAATCGAAAGTTTTCTAAGAAATATTCATGTTCAAAGACTGAAGTCAGTAGAAAACCACCAATGTTAAATAATATGATTGTTAGACGAGATAAAGCCATACAAAACCAGAATTCTGGACTGGGGTTTATTGCCATTCGGATCTGACAGGAAACCACACACTGCCGAAAAGCCAGGAAGCTGATCCATTTATACAGAGTCTTCAATGCCCGCGTTCGCCCCCTGACCTACGGCTGAATCACAGGCATTCATACACAGTTCTCCCCTACATGTTCTCATAACGGATAAATATGTGTTGTTATAGAAATTTTGGACATGTAACTAATCTATATTAATCAACACATTATAGATTAACCATTATAAAAAGGAAAACCTAAAAATATAGTGTTGTGCTTTTAACATCAGTACTAATCTGTAAAAACTATAAATTTCTTCAATTTGACATGAAGAATTAGAAACAACTCCATCTGTCATGTCAGCACCATGCTGCTACAGACAAYTCACCTTAGAAAATACAAAACTGACTACCTCTCAATCTACTTTTATGAAWATTCAGCTAAAATTTTGCTTTGGTGATGGCTGAGCATTGTTTCCAACACATATAGTAAATGGACTGAAATTAATTTACACTTACAGACATTCACCCATTCACATACTGATGGTGGTAAGCTACATTGTAGCCACAGCTGTACTGGGGCACACTGACAGAGGTGGACCGTCTGACCACCATCAGTAGGCAAAGTAGGTGAAGTGTCTTGCCCAAGGACACAACAACTGAGCCGGCTAGAATGGGGGATTGAACCAGCAACCTTCCGGTTACGGACGACTGACTCCCCTATCCACTCTGTTTAAAAACTTGCCATTGGAGTCAACTCTCTTTGTCTGTTAGCAAAATWTCTCATGTACCACTAAACAAATTTAAATTGAACTTAAAAAATAATCATCAGACATCCATCTACAAGTGATTAACCTTTGAAGTCTGCACAATCCWTGATGTCATCTACATCTTTAAACACAAAACAATATTTTACAGACACTGATCTAAAATTTGGGTAGAAAGTAGCTTACACTCATTCACAACAYATACTTTAAGCCCTGACAGTTTATGTATTGCAACATTACATGAGATTATGCAMAAGGTTATTTTTAAAGTTGGCTAAAACACATTTATTTTACATTAATGATCTTATTTTAAAACTCAGGTACAAAAAGCAGTGGGTGGTAAACWTTCATTTAAGAAATGCTACGCTTTTAATAAGCAATTTTGTTTGTAATAAGGCAACAGTTAGCGTCAACATAACTAATTTACAATGCTGTTCCACTCAGAATATCCACTTTTAGGCTCTAAAACACAGTTTGTTTTAATATTTTATACGGGGAATTACTCTTCAGGGTAAGACAGAGTGTGTAGAAGCTCTTGTTCCTCCCTTTTTTTCTTGCATATTTTCCCCTCCCTGTTGCTTCCCTCACTCCTGCCAACCCACTCTGTAAAACRTCTGCAATAACATGCTCACCCACACTGAGCACCAGCCGTCAAAATACATGAATCATATGGAGGAGAGAGAGAGGGAGGTGCATGTAGATGTGTGTGTGTGTGTGTGCCTCTTTATCTCTGTTTATGGGTCGCTTGGTGACACATGAGAAAATAATTTGTTTTTATGTGCGCACAGAGCTGCGTGCTCCTGAAGAAAGGATTGCATGTTTGTTTGTTGGTGTGCATGCGTACGTTTGTGGAGACGTGCATGTCGGTTGCTGATCCTCAGCTCGAGGGTTCTGTGTGGGCAGAAGCATCCTGTGCCGGTGTAAATTGATTTCCAGAATCCAGACGCAAGGTGCTCCACGCAGGAAAGAGCTGTGTGCTTCTGCAACACTTTTTATGAAAGGCGGTAAAATGCTTTATGGCTTGCTTGTATCTCTGTGTGTGTGATGTGTGTGCGCGCATCTGTGAGCAAAGGGGGAAGCCAGCACAGAAATACTGYAGGTGCAGTGACACAAGAAATCTGATATCTCTGCTTCCACACTGACCAAAAAAGAAAAAAAAAAGCAAACTTGCATCTCTAAGTGATTTATTTCCAGATTTAACTAGTAATCTGTAGAAAACAGCTGGTTATTGGTTTATTCATGACTTCAAGTGTTAATGTGCAGTTTGTGGAGGCCTGCACGTGTATGTGTGCATCCCTTTGTTTATTCATGAGAGGAGACAGAGAAGAATGAGTTGTGTCACAATAAGTAAGATAAACAGTGAATTGAAGGGAGGGAAGAAAACAGTTCTTATCCCAGAGTGACAAAATCTCAGGGCTGCGAGTGCAAGTGGCTGCTGGTGGGACTTTATTCATGTGGTTCAGAGCTACAACCGCTTAATGACGGATGATGGCCTTTAGATCTGTGTGGAATTCTCCTCTGTGTAATTATTATTGATTTTAAATCCATCAGGATGAACACATAACGTGGTGTTTCTTCAAACACTGCAGCTTTCCTTACTAGAATAAACAAATACAGGAATAAAATAAAATTAAAACAAAAGTTTTATCGGGGAAAAATCGACAGATGATGTTTTTCTTTGCGACTGAGCTCTGAGGTTTGGTWTAGGAGCTGTCCAATTCTTTTGGTGCTGAATCTCCCCCTCCACCCTTCTTTTCCCAAATGAYAGCTGTATCTAATATCACAGCACAGACATTTTGCTGGTCTTTATGYTGTTTTAATCCTGTAGCATTAGGCTTGCAAATCAAAGTTAACAGCCGAGTTCCGGTTTTATGAATCAGGGTTTCATGACAAAGTTTTTAACTAGCTAGCTTTTTGCTTCTATTGAYATAATTTAATTGGATTGATGAGYTAATGGCTAGTCCTAGTGACAGTAAAACCAAAATGAGTTGCTGTTTTCTTAAWATAAATAAAAAATGCCTTTCATGCAAATTGAAAACTCATCTGTTTTGCAGTAAGTAACATTTTCTTTAAACAGCACCTTTTGAGATAAACATCAAAAGGTGCTTCACGAGAAACATAACCATTAAAACCAAAACTTACTTTTCCCTGAGAAAACAAACAAACAAAAAACAACTAAAGACAAATTTAAAAAGATTGGTTACTTTTTAAAATGTGACCATCAAGTCAATCTGTCAAAATTAAACTGCTTCTTCAAGCAGATGTTCATGAAGAGCTATCTGCAACAGGTGAGATGTTAACTGCTCATAGCAGTTCCACAGAACATCACCTAAAAAGATCAGAAGGGATGGTTTCAAGGGATTGTGTTTTTAGGACTAAAGTGGAAGCTGTTTAAAAAAATGTGAGTAAAAATGAAGAGAGACCATTTTTAGAATCCTCTGAAGATCCAACAAGTTTGTTTCTGCTGCGCATCAGCCGCACGAGCTCATCCTAAGTTAATGTGCTTTAAATGAAACCACAAGGCAATTTTCTTTCTTGCCTGAGGTAGAAAGAAAAAAAGGGAGGAGAACTTGAGGCAAAATAACACCAGAGTGTAATTAAATTGCCATGAGTTGCTCTCACGGTGAAGGCTGTCCGGGATGTTCCGGGGTGACAGCAGCAGCAGCAGCAGCAGCAGCAACAGCAGCAGCAGCGGGGTGATGAAGATGAGGATGGGGTTGGGTTTTCAACACTTGAATGTAATTCCATGTGGGAGGAGGATGGGTGGGTTTAAGTGCAGCTATCGGGTCTTTTCTTCTCACGCGCCCCTCTGTGCGCACAGACTGAAGACAGAATCAAGGCGCGCTCCAGCTCTCTCCGCGCGATGCGCAGCAGGTCGGTGAGGGCGCAGCACTAATCTGATTCTGTATCCCCGCATTTCAAGATCATTTAATTATTTTTTATATTTTTGTTTTTTATTTTTTTCCTCCGGGTATTCCCTCACTCACTCACTCACTCACTCGCTCATCCCCCCACCCCACCTTCCACCCTCTCCAGCTTCAACATCTGTGAAGTGGCTGCCTCGCCCGGTCGGACCGGAGGCCGTCTGGTCTCTGAACTGCTCTCAGGAGGGGTCTCCGGGGACGCGACGCGCTCCTCCGGGTCCAGCAGGAGACTGTGCGCCTCGCGGATCACGCCCGAGCCAGCGGCGCGCGCTCTGCCCGTAGACATGATGGAGGGAGGGGACGTGATGGACAAACTGGAGGACATGTCTTCCGTGTACGACTTCGACCCGATCACCGGGAACATCCCCGCCACCAAAGTGGAGATCACCGTCTCCTGCAGGTGAGGTTTGTGCTTCTGGCTCTGTGGAAGTTGTGCACGCGCCACACCCTGTCTGAGCGGTTTAGTTTGGTCACATAATGACAAAAACTTTAGTTTGGAAGTTGTTAATTTTAGTTTATGGGGCTAATATGTTAAAAAACACTTAGTCCTCGTTTTCTTTGACTCACTTTTGTGCCTTTCTGTTGAAAAAAAAAAAACATGTCTCCAAAACTGTAGATCTCCACTTTGTCACACTGATGCGCGTGTTTCAGACATTGTGAGTGGAATAATTTAGAAGTGTCAGCTCTTATTGAGGTGAACACCCCCTAACACAGCCCGCCACTGATCTTTCCACGCTGCAGGTTCTGYGACTGCTTTCAGCACCAACAGAGCGCTGAGAGCCTCCAGCCCTCCTGCATTCTTTACACCGAGCTGTTAAAGTTTCAAAGCTTTGCATCATATTCGCTCTGCAACTGCAGTGTCCCTGACCTCAACCCTAACTCACTCCCATTCTGTTATTATTTTTTTGCTGCCCTTCATTTTCAGAAAGTATGTCAAGGACGGGAAAAAAGAATCAATCTCCCCGCACAGCGTTTTCAGTCTGCCACTCCTCTTCCCAAGAGGGGAGGTTTTAAAGTCAAGCTTACAATGCCTTTCACCCCCTCCTTAAATACTCTGTTGGCATGTGTGAGCC